GGCGTTTAAACGCGTTCGACTCAAACGCAGATTTTTACAAAACGCGTTTAAACGTAGATTTAAACGCCCAAAACAGCGTTCAAACGCGTTTTTTCTCAAAATTTTCCAAAAACTAGCGTTCAAACGCATTTTTTCGAACGCAAACGATTACATGGGGAGTGAACGTATGTGCTGGACAAGAAGAGGAGAAAGAATGCGGCGGACTGAGAAATGAATAGTGATAGTGTATGTGAATATGAGAGTCAGTAAAGGAATATAGAAATATTTTCGTTTTGCATTATAACTAATAAATTCTACAGCTTTAGTCATATTAGGGAAAGGTGACTTTTTCATATCAAGATTTATATGCTAGAACGACAGAGCTTATCGAAAAGAAGTTAAACATGCCTTTTCCCTTAAAAAACACTTTCGTTACTTCGTTACCTTCAGGAGAGTAACGAAGTAACTAGATTAGTTGCTCGTTACTAGTAATAAAGTAACTAAATTAGTCAGTTACTAGTTACTAGTAACGAGTAACTGCACTAGTTACTTGGTTACTGGTAACGAGTAACCAGTCTCATTACTAGTTACTAGTAAAGGTAAAGTGCCACCTCTATTATTCAAACAGGATTTTAAAGGATATGCAACGCTAAAGGGGCTTTTTGCCCACGATATTTTGGTGAAGTACTGATAACGTTTGCCGAAGGTCATTGAAGTTTAAGTTTAAATTTTTTGTTCTTCCTATAATTTATTTATCAAATTATTTGTAACAGTTCCGACTTCGATGTCTGCGTCAGTAAAAATTGTAATGTGGCAAAATATTGACCGTACAATAGCGCGATGATCGGAGAGACCTAGAAGTTAATTTAATTAGGTAATCCTGAGATTCGAGAAGAGTCAAGTTATTGTAAATTTCATAAAATGGTATGAGTCGAAAGTACTGGCGTCTGGCTTTGAGATCGGGTAAATGTAGTTTATTGACTGGAGATAGACTATCAGTATTGTAATTGAAGTTTCTGGTAATAATACGACTTGCTAAACGCTGAGCTGCCTCTAATGGTTCAAGATGTGTGGTGAATTTAGAATCATAAAGAGCACTACAGTGATGGATTTTGGGTAAAACGCACATAAGATATAAAACTAAGCGAATTGACTCGTGCTTCTTCAAAAACTCGATTAACCCGCGCCCCAAGGCATGGAAAATATTGTTTTATTACGAAACAGACAAACACTTTATTTGCACTCAGTTTGTAGAGATTGCTTTTAAACTTTTAGCATTGAAATTGAAGTTTTTAGAAGTCAAACAAGTAATAGTGTTTCTAAAACCGAAAATTTTCAAATAAAACCAGTTTTTCGGTACATAAATAACATTTGACTAGACCTCCGATCCTGCCATCGGATGCAGCATTTAATTCTCTACAAACAGCAGAGAGCAAAAAGTTTGCTTTAGAACCCCCCGAGCACCACGAAAACTGCTTTACAATAAGGCGCATCACACGAATTACTTCATCATTTCTTTTTTAAAGTTCTAGTTCTGGGCGAATTCTAAACGTTGTGGATCGATGAATGGTGAATCATTTCGTTTGGCATGTGTTAGTGAGCATTTCCCGAATCATGTTCTCGGCGTTATTATCAAAGTCTGAAATTAACAGGAAAGAAAAAAAATTGATTCGTCATTGATTCTTCGTCAAATTGATTCTATCATGTGAGCATGTGAACTCAAATGTCTATTTCCCCTTTTAAATAGGTAACCGCTTTGCCCGATATCAGCACTCTGTCGCCTATGTTTTCGCACCAAAGTTCTCCTTTACGCGCCGAAATCTGGTAAGCGTGCAGCTTGTTCTTACCCAATCGTTCAGCCCAATAAGGAGTTAGAGTGCAATGTGCTGAACCACAAACGGGATCTTCAGGAACGCCGGCGCTCGGAGCAAAGAATCGCGAAACAAAATCGACTTCATCACCAGGAGCTGTAACAATCACCGCAAAAACAGCATCAATTTTGCCTAATGCCATAAAATCCGGCGACAATTGTTTGATGTCGGCCTCGTTTTCATAAACGAGCAAATAGTCTCTCGCTTTATAAACGCCGATGGGAGCTATTCCGCTGCGTAAGGCTGACAACAATGCATTAGGTAAATCGGCTTTATCTGCCGGACGGGCTGGAAAATTGAGGGTATATAAAGCATTCTCCTTTTGGCGGGTAACTGTAAGTTCACCAGCTTTCTTGGTCTGAAAGGTGATTTTCTCTTTTGTAGGAGACATTTCACTGAAAATAATATGCGCCGTCGCCAATGTTGCATGACCGCATAGGTCTACTTCCTGTTTGGGCGTAAACCAGCGAAGTTCATATTTGTCATTGCTGAAATTTGGTACAAAGAAAGCCGTTTCAGAAAGATTGTTTTCAGCAGCAATTTTCTGCATCAATGAATCGGATAACCATTTGTCTAATGCGCATACTGCCGCCGGGTTGCCACCAAACAATCGATCGGTAAAGGCACCGACCTGGTATATTGGTATGATCATAATTCTAATTAACTATGCTATTTTCGAATACTTATTGTAACAGTATTGCAACAATGCTGTATCAATAACCAACAACTCTAAAAATAAGGAAAAATGTATTTGCATGTGCTCGATATCGAGAACCTTAATCGTATGAACGAAACAGATGACTTTCTCTCGGATCAATTGCGAAACTTCTAAATATTTTCTACCCAACGTATTTTTGTCTCCATTATTCATATCTGGAGGATTGAAAAAGTGTTACGAAATCCCGGCTCAAAATTATTTTGTAGAGCAAGATGCCATCTTTCAGAAAAGGGTTAGCGAATCCTCCGGATGCGCGTTACTTGTTGTGAAACTTTTAATTTTAAATTCATATCATTATTTATTCGGAAGACTTTCTAATACAGGAGAAAAAAACAACAACGTATTAAGTTGGTTTTTTCCAACTTCTAAAACTTGAACTTGAACTTGAAATTTTATTTTATGCCCAAGAAAAACTATATATATAAATACATGCTTTAAAAATGGCTAAACGGATCTTTACCGGAGACTCCTGGAATGTTCTAAACATTGCACTTAAGCGTTTTCTACATCCGACGATTACGTCTCTAACACGCTCATTCCACACATAAAAAACCCGAAAGAAGAATTTCTTGGTATACTTGTTCTTCTGTTCTTTCGGACTGATAACAAACGAAAAGTACACGAAGTAGATATTCACCTGTGACGTACGGGAGAGAGAGAGAAAGAGAGCAAAAGAGATTGTTTAGTGGGCAAAAACCAGCAGTTACAAAATTGTGATGCAATTCGCTCACTACATAAAATTGTGGACACACACACCACATTGTTTCATTTCTTATCTTAAAAGGAGTAAACTCTAACACAGAATTTTGTAAATTCTTATTCATTCGAAATGGCGTGTTAATGAATGAACTGCAGCTGTTTGATCGCATCGATACGAAAGAAATGAAGCGAAAATTGAACATGCGATGAGAAAAACAATCGAACGGATCGAACGGGATTTAGAAATGACTCCACAACACAAACGAAATTCGTACATAAGACACTCGCTCGTCTATTAGGTTTTTGTGAATGCTGGTTAAAAAAAATTCTGTATCCATTAGATTCATCATCAGTTTTTGCCTATGTAAAAAAATTTTCAGTTTATTTGAATAAAAAATAAGCATTTTATTGAAAAATGACCTTCCCCTTTTTCTATGATACCAGTAAAAACGAATTTTTTCAACAAAAGAAAGAAAAGGAAAAAAAAGAATGCGGAGTTTTGTAGCTGATGGTATGTTGAGTTGAATGAGATAAAACATTTGACTTCATCGCTTATGTAAAAAAACTTGATACGTTTACAAAAACGACTTATGCG